TTGATCGATTTACCTCCCTATGTTTAAGATATAACGTCCGTTGATTAATTAAATTACTGACAAAGTAAATAATCAACTTCTTATTCATTTCCGAAATTAGTACCACTCAGCTATTAACCATTATGTCAGACAATCGTCTACCTGCAGGGTTTAACATAAGGTTACTTTCTGAGCTCATTTCGGGGACGTCATCAATCCAGCGCACTGGAACATAGTGACTGTAAATAATCTATAATAGCACATCATATAATTATTCTTACTTACCAAAATACCTCGTATGTCATCCTAACAGAATTGAAATCACTTGGTAAATCAAATAAATAAGAAATAAAAATATATACCTATTTTATATTATTTTACAGCTTAAGAGAACGCATCAATCACTGAAGGTCTAGGTTACGACAACGGTCAGCGAGTCTCATATCCTTATCCTTCCGTGGTCCTGTTCAACACTTAACATAAGTGCTAGTGTAATCCTTCAGTCAAAGACCAACTGAATCGGGAATACACTACAGTCTTTTTCCAAGTGGGGTCTCACTGCCAGTCTAGACTGTGAACGAATAGTTTAGTCTTATAAGGAACCGATAGGTGATCTTTCCGTTCGAAACTCTTCGAACCACACTATCTCAATATAAGACATGGAGTATGTATTGCATAAATAAATAAACTGCAAACATATGTACTTTGACCGAAACATGATTGCCAGATCAAAATGGAATTGATAGAAACTGCAAAGCACAGCTTTTACAGCATACCTCTAACAACCTTGCCCCCAAGCATCGTACGCAGCGCGTAGTTCTGCATTGGTCTCATTCTCAGAAATGACCGGAGGGTCGTCCTTCAGGTATTTCACCAAACCCAAAGTGGTCTGGTAAAAATGCATCTTCTGTTGCCATCTCTTAAAGTCAAGCCCGTTGAATTTTTCGGGCTTTTCAGCTGTAGGAACATGGACAGCAGGTACATGATTGATCGAATGCTGAGAGCTGGAACCTGCTCCGGTGGATGCCATCAGTTCAGTAGGATGACTGATATTCTTCTTGCGACTGTTGGATATTTGGTGTAAAAAACACGAGAATCCTACGAACTGATATGTAATTTCAGTTCTTACAAATAATCTAAAAATACAAAATTACAATAGAACTGAAAAATAAATTACAGCTGAAAAACGGAAAGATTTTAGCCGAGGCGAGTAAAACTCTTTTCGCAAGAAGAATACGCCCCGTGTGGCTGCTAACGGTTCAGGCGTACCTTCCCCAAAGATACAACGGCAAGCGTCTGTAAATCTGTAGCACACCAGATTTACGAGCTCCGACGAACGAGAACGGGGTCAAGAATTGAGCACTTAGAAATAAAAGGAATATTCTGAAACAAATAAAAATATCACTTGTTTCTTCTCTTTTAATATTTTTATATCCGATATTTAGACATATATTTTTTCTTTCTTTCATTTCTCTTTCTTTTTTCTCTCTTTCTTTCAGATTTTGGTACGCCTTTTCTCTTCTGGCCGAGTGCCTATTTATAGGGGAGGGAGGCTGCAGAAATTAGGCAATTTGCCTAATAAAAAATAATTAATAATTTATTTATTTTAATTTGATGCAAATGGCAGATGTAGCCAAATGTGACATGTGGTCAAATGGAGAGCATCTATCACGAGATTTGAGATACAAAATTAGCAATTATTGAGCTGTGGGCATGTGGCCCTTTTATTTTCTCTTTACCTAAATGTCAGTCCTTGCTCCTTGGCCGCGCTCGGCAGTACCACCCCGCTATGAGCCCACAGCCGTTGGCCATGCACCTTGATACGAGCTCGCTTAGCTCGGTTATAAACATTCTTAAGTTGACGCCCCTCGTACGTATCAAACTTGCTAATACAATTCAACATCAGTTGATTCCCAAACTTCTAGGAGATGAGTGAAGTAAATATATAAATTGATATACAGGGAGTGCAAATTAGACAATGTTGAGGAATGAATTTAATAGGCCAAGTATAAATAAATTGATAAAAGGAGTGCAGGTCAACGAATTTCGACGAGGATGGGTTTTTAATTTTAAAATAAGTGTAGGGATTTTAATTAAAACTTACCCTTATATAATATAATATAAATAAAAATAATTAAAAAAGAGGGTCCAAATTTCAATTATGTGCTAAAAATGCTCCCCACTTAAAAGCTCTTGGATGATATGACTTGAGTGTCTTCCAGCTTAATTAATGATCTCGTGTCCGAGCCCTTGCAACAATGTTAAAAACTTTTAAGAGAGAGCTTTGGCACCCTTATGATTCTACCCGGCTCGATTCCGAATTAGTCGGTTTCTATGTGAATCTGGAAACGGGAAAGTCCATCCCCCACTTTTGTTTACTTGCTTGGAGACTTCATTTCTTCTGCCTTGACAAATCTCTCTACATTCTCTCTACCTCAAATTCAATTGTTACACTAATGACCTAATATCTGTAAGTATCTCAGTTTGATGATCTTGTTTACAAGTTCGGCATCTAACCTCTTGTGTTTTGCTGGGTTTATTAGTTGTTTGAAGTTGATTTTGTTGCATTTTATAGAGAAAATTTCGATGGGGTTTTGGGTGATGGCTTTTCACTTGTAGTTATGGAGTAGTTTTATTTCACTATCTTGAAGCTGCGACGAGTTCCATCATTCTTGCCTCATCGTACAACTTTATTTGTTTTTACTATTTTCTTTGAGAATTGGTCAGTTAGAGCAGTCATCTCCTGATAAAGATGATTCCTTGAAATTTATGTCATAGTTCCTCAATAAGCTACAAGAATGGGGATTTTTTAAATTAATTAGTGGAAGCTCTTACCACAGTAAACTGAAGTTTACTGTTCCCTAGTTTAGAGATTGAACTTTTGATTTTGAGATTGTTGTGTAATGCAGGAATTATTCTAAAAGATTCGTAGTTAGTTCGATTTGGCGCTTTTATCTTAACCGATTCTTGGTGACTTACTTATCTCTGTATGCAATTTGAGAAGTTAACCTGTATATTTTTTGTTAATGTAAGGCTAGTGCAGATGCATAAGATGTTTTCTGGGGCTTGAGCCTATTCTTTCCCCGCAAATCGATTCACAGTTTCTTTCGAAATACAGTCCTCGACACATTGTAGTGAGGTATCGATCTGGGTGGGTGTGTTTAAAATCTAACTTGTATGAAATCTTGCTTGAATTGTCTGTGAGTGTTTAAGTGCAGTAAGATTAGAATTGCATGGCTAAATGCTTCTATGTATTCCATTTTATTTGATATGGAAAGCATTAAGATGAGAGCCTACTGTTATGCTTTTAATTTTGTTGATAATATTTGAAAATTGTCGAGTGAGCAGAGAGCTCAATTAAATGCTTTTTATGGTGAGATGGTGAAAAACTGGAAGCATTTTCGAAGCTTTTTATCTTGTTTTACTTTCTTGCATGATTCTTCAGCTTCTCTTCTTTTTTGCTGGCAGATTTACACTATTCATACGAAATGTTTGACTGCGGCCCAAAGGCTCCGTATATTGCTGGGCAGCGGGACAAGTTTGTAAGGTATCTCTTTTCTTATCATGCCTCCACTAATTTAACCTGATTTATCTAATAAAAACTGGATTAACATATTATTAGAGCATTTTTTTTT